TGCAGTTAAAATGATTTATCTATAACTTGCTGGAAATATTTTTATAGATATCTGCTTTGAATGTAAAGGCAGGACAGCTGTTCTTGTGTTGCTGAGTACCGTTATATTTCTTTCTCCAGATAAAGAGTCCAGCGATGCAGAGCGCCAGCAGCAGCAGAACTACAACTCCTCCAATGACAGCACCAGCAGGAAACCCTGACGAAGAAATTGGAACCGAAACACAACCCTCAGATTTCATCTCTACTGCAGCACAATGACAAATATGTTTCATTTCCAGACTCCAGCATTCTGACCAACTTACCCCTGTTGGTCCTGATCGCTGCTTTGTCCAGTTTGGTTCTGATGTCGTCTTTGACACCAGACAGCTGAAACACACAGCGGTATCTCTTCCAGTCTTCAGGTGCGATGGATGAAATGTTCAGGTCAACACTCATCTGGAAGCTTCCATCATGGTTGGGGAGGATCTCTCCTTTGTCCACGTCCTCATGAAGCTCCTCTCCATCTTTGGTCCAGGACAAGTCGGCTCTGTCGGGGTAGAAACCTGTAGCGTGGCAGGTGACCGGAGAGGAGGCAGTCTTCTGGAGGAGAGACACTGAGGGAAGATCTGGGGAGAGAAGCTGATGAGTCTTAACTGAATGTGACAGATCAGGATGTGTTTTGTGTCTGTTCCTGTGGACAGAAACAGATAAAGTACATAACCATGTGTATTTCAGGTTGTGTTATTCTACCTGTCCTCTGCAGAAAACTCTTCCTGTAGTGCACGTACATCTTCAGCGATTTGGGGCACTCATGGATGTAGAAGTTTTTATTGAATTGTAGTCGAGCTTTCTCTGTGTCCCATCTGAGTTTGGTGATAAAAGCCTGTGGTTTTGGAGCGATCCATGTCAGCGTCTGCAGGTCCAGCGCTATGAAGTCTTCACCATCATATCCATATTGATTAAAACCCCTGATGTCTCCAGTTTCATCATCCCATTCACAGCCGTTCATTCTCTGCAGGATGTGGGCACCTGGGACACAGAGAGGGAGTCTGATTTCACTGGTTTACTATTAGGGCCGGCTGGCATGGCTGCAAACATCACCACAATCATCATCTGACTGACTGCACACTGAAAAACTGTCATACTTCATTTTGGTGCAATATCAACACATTAAAAGCTGTGAATTATGAATATTCTGTTTAAAAACTGTGCAATATCAGCTTTTCTATATGACACTTCACAACATCCATGACACTCCGTTTTATGCCAGAATAACCAGACGGTAAGCCAGAACATCACCAAAAGTTGATCATCTGTTCATTGTGCCATTATCAAAATTTCCTGAAAATTCATTAAAAAAAAAAATTCATTGAAGAGTTATGAGTTATGTTGCTAACAAACAAACCAACAAACAAACCAACAAACCAACCAACAAACAGATAAACACCAGCTAAAACATAACCTCCATGGCAGAGGTAATAATATAGGCATATATATATCCTTGGTAATTATTAAGTTTACCTTTTCCTTTTCACACCTGTATTTCACCTGTATGCATATGACAAGAGTAAACTTCTATATGTATTTAACTGTCAATTTGTCTACTTTTGATTGATACCAGATATGCAATGATGTGAAGTCTACTTAAGAATTTATGAATGATTAATCAAAACCATAGCTGATCATGAATTTCAAGCAAAGTTACTTAGTGTTGAAGGGGTTAACTTTATCGGGCAGGAAACACCTTCAATGTGTCTGTTAGACCTCAGAGATACACACTGTTTTAGTGAGTAACACTGAATGTAAAACTGAGTTCTTTGTTCATGAGAAAGAAAACAAAAAACAAAAAACTCCACAGTGAATCTTGACTTTGAGGGTTATTTGCAGTTTAGGATTGATTGTTGGTTGCTTAGCAAACAGGTTGTTCTGCAATATTGGTGAGTGCACACATATTTAGATTAATATGCCCTGTAATAGCAACACATATTAGAAAAATGTGGCCTGTAAAGTGAAAAATGGTCTGGTTCCTTCAACAGAAAAGGCCCACTAATGAGCAAACAGAGCAGACAGAGTGACTCCTTAGAACTGATGTGTCAACAGTGTGGAGCCAGAAACTTTGGTTTCTGTTAGCTAATTGCAATGGCAACCAATATAAATGGTGGAACAGGTTTGTTGTGTTTCCTGTCTTTGTGGGTAAATATCTCCTGGATATCTTGCAATAGACATCACTCTGCTATTTACGCTTGTAAGAAAATAGGGAATATTAGAATTATGTGTCTACAAGGACATTCTTGAAGAAAACTTGAATTATCAGTAAATTATTTCATACAATCACCAGCTTTCCTGAAGGAGACTTGACATTGAGTGCAGCATCTTACAACACAGAGAGAACACATTTCAGCAGTGAAAACTTAAACATACAAAAATATTTTACCTCCAGTTTGGTTTAAGCGTTCCATCAAGCCATCAATGTTGGCTCTGAAGAACTGCTGGTTTCCAGAGCACTGGTTAATGTGCCACTCCAGGTGTTGTGGGTTATCTTTTATGAATTTCCTCACCCAGTCCTGTTTGGGTTCAGCTGTCCTGATGCTGTCACAGTAACCCACCTGAGCTTCATCAAGCACTACTGCAGCCGCAAACTCTGGAAAGTTCGGGACCCCAGAAGTTGCAGTGAGGAAATATTTCAAGGAGTGTTTCACTGAAGAGAAAAGAAGGTTTTCAGCTTTTGAATTTTGTTTTATTTTTGTATTTTCAAATCTGTTAAACCACAATGGACTAGGAAACAAAATGTGAATATGTTCCTATACTATACTTCCTATTGTACATGTACAACAGAGATGTGCTCATTTGGAATTACATATTGAAGTAAATATAATGAAGAAAAGCACCCTCTCTGCTATGATGATCCATCCAAATCCAAAATGCATTATATGCAGGTACTTCAGCAAGTTCACCTGGAAGCAATGAGTGTATCTTCCATTTTGGGGCATATTTGTAAATTACAATTTGTTTTTTATTAGTGACCGCAAAAACCCAAATGTTTGAAGCAATCAAAGAAAAGCAGAGAGGAAAGCCGCTTGCTCAGAGGGAGTCCAAAGACTACTTTGGATTGTTGGGCTCCCTGTTTAAATTTGTAAGGTCTGTACCTTCCTATGTTAAGCGCTGTGGGATGACATATGTTATAAACTGCACTATACAAATAAAATTGAACTGAAATTGAATTGAATTGAAGCTTGGAGCTGACTGCTGCTCTCCAGGACAATGAGCCTGTCCATCCTGCACCGTCTAATTTCTCTCTGTTTCCTAAACAGAAAGCTTGCGTGGTCACTATTTTTTTTTTTTTTTTTAGAGTGATGAAGTCATGCATGCTGTTGCGCAGGCTCAAGATGTGACTTTCCTCTGCATAGGGATAGTAATGCTTTAACATCAGTGGATCAACTGCATTTAAGTTAAGGGAGAACAAGTTGTGAGAGAACGCCAGAACAATCTTTCATCTGTGACAGAGCTTATTGAAGTACCTACGTATTGTAGACTTTGAGGCCTCTTGCCAAACAGCGACCTGAACATGAGACACACCTGATTTCCAAAGCTCACATAGGACAACACTCTCCCTCTTCATTGTTAAATATTATGCACCTAATGCATATAACAGATATTACTCTCACATATTGTACAAGTTAGGCCACATTTAATCTCTATGTTATATATTATTTGCAATCTACTCTGCATTACTATTCTGTCTTATATTTTACTAGATTGGTATAATTCACTTTATATTTTCCATCTCACAAGATCCACTGTATTGCTTGACTTGACTTAATGATCTTATAGTTTCTATTTCTATTTCAGCACATTTTAATACATATTATTATACCTGTACATCAGTGTATTAACTTCTCTACTTGTGTATACTTGTTTCTGTCTTTGCGCTGATGCAACATGTAAATTTTTCATCTAGTGATTAGATAAGGCTTATTTTCCTTATTGGGAGACATCACTGTCTTCTTTAGAAAAAAGTCTCCATAACAGATTTGACGGAGAAAGTCTTTAGCAGAGCTCCATGTTCTGTCACTTAGAATAACTCGCAGCCACGACAGCTGCAGCAAGTACATGTCGTCTTTAAAGCATCTACTCACAGACGATACAAAAATAAAATTATTAATAAGCATGAGTCAATATTGAATAGATTCATGTCAGGCTGAATCTGTGCTGTTACGACACTTGAAAGACTTTAAAAAGTGAAGTGAAACTATAAGCACTCGGTGCTCTGCAGACAATAACAAGCAAACCAACAAACAGCAGCAGCAGGAAGAAGTAATGGAAACAGCTACCCTGTGATCTTACCTCCAAATGCGACGTGACAGAAGAGCAGCAAAGCAAATAATTTCTTCATCTTTTTTTATTTTTATTTTTTTGGAAGTCCTGGAGCTACAGGGTTTCAGTCAGATAGTTAGAAATAGATACTAAAAGTGGGGCGTGTCGTTGTTATACAGTCTGTGGTCCTTCAGTAGCCACAAAGAGCCTCCTCTTAAGGAATGT